TACCTTAATTCCTCTTCTGGGAATTTCCAGCAGGAATAACTCTAATGCAGTCAAACAGTAGTATATAATGGTATCAACTATTATTATTGTATTTTATTATTAATTGACACTTTAAAAATAAGAATATTTAAATTGGATCTCATTTGTCTTGAAAATATGTGTCCCCAAATCAAAGTATTAGCTTTGATTCTGAGGAGAGATCAGTTATGAGTGATTATGAAGACTGAAGCTAAGCACTGACAGCTGCTCAAAGTGGGGGTTGTTGCTAACTCCAGTATAAGACTTTGAGTAAAGCATTTGGTTTCTTTGGGCTTGAAAACAGGTCTATTTGGCAAGTTATCTGGAGGGTGACAAGTAATGCTAATGGCCGGTGCCTCCTGATTATGTTTGTCTTAATTCTTAGCTATTAACTTCAAAGTGTAGATGTTTATATATATATATCTATATATAGATATATAGATATATAGATATAGATATATTTACAGTTACTAGGGATTGAACCGAAGGCCTTTGCACTGAGCTATATCTCCATAATGTTTTCTTTTTTTTTTTTCTTTTGAGGCGGCATCTCACAAAGTTGCTAAGTTGCTCAGAGTGAGCACAAACTTGCGATCTTCCTGCCTTAGGCTCCCACAATGGATTGATTACAGGCTGTGCCACCACACCTGGCTTATTACTTTTAAGAAGAGTGGAGTAGACAACTCTTCATTATTTGGTGGACTTTCCTTATGTCTACAAGGATGCCTCTAGCTTTCAATTTGCATTGTCCTTCTAAAGCCCTCTGCTTTTCCAATAGATCTCATCTGTTTTTGTCTAGGTGACACTAGAATAGAATGGCCAAAAGTTGGCCCGAAGCAGAATATACCATAGTTCAAATTCTTGTAGAAACTCTCACTGTAGAGCCTAAGATAATTTTCTTTATCTTGTTAAGATTTTGTAGGAATTAAATAAAGAAAAATATAAAGAATATCTGTAATATGCTAGAAGCTGAGTACATGGCAGCTGTTGTTATTATCAGCAATCTAACTGCCAAACTCCATACCCGTCTCACGTACTTCAATAGCCATGATGACTATGACTCAGTAGGTACAAAGAACCATCCCTTCCTTGACTCTCCCTCTCCTTTATCCTTCTCAGTTCTACATTATAATCTATGTTTCTTTTTCCTGCTTGTTTTTTGGTAGTTGTGGGGGGGGGGGGGATGATGTAAGTAATCTTACTAATATCTTTTTACTAAATGACTCTGGAAAAAGTCAAGGTCCATAGAATGAAAATTCAGTGTCTGCATACAAACTGGGAGCAGAGCAATGGGAGAAGACTGAAAGCATTACACACTCTAATGCTCAGCAGTGTTTACTGCAAAAGGCAGTTGCATATGATCAGGAGCAGGGCTTTGCCCTCTTTAAGAATTAATGAATAAGTAAATGAACCAGGAACAAGAGCTTCCAGCTCAAGTTTGTTGAGATAAATTTCTGTAGGCCACACATTTCTGCTGGCTTCATATTTACCCAGCAGCCAGAATGAAAGAGGCCATGCAGGGAAACTACAGAAATCACAGGGTCTTGATAGAGTTGAGACTTAGATTGCAACTCCTTTTCCCAAGCTTTACTAGCTTATAGTGGAAATGATATCTTACCTTGATATCACAACTAAAATGACATCACAGTTTGTAAAGCAGGACTTACAGACTTCTCTTCCCAATATTCCTGGTAGTGTGAGAAGGTATTTCACACATACCCATGAAAAGGTATACTTTTGGTCAGGCACATCAGTACTACATCAGGTATCCCTAAGAATTACTGTGCAGGTCTACCATGTCCTGAACCCCAGTACATGGAAACTATCAGTCCTCTCCACTGTCCTCTGGGAATTACTATCAATATATCGATGTCCCTTCAATCACAAGCTCAAGGCTGGCTTTGTGACAAATGAGAGCATTCTCATCACTCCAGAGCTAGGAACTGAACATGACCTTCCAGGCTCAAGAGCAGCAGTGGCTGTGACCTGTGCTCCAAATATTGATTCTTCCATTTCTGTCAGTAGCCCTCTCCCCACAGACTCAAACAAAGCAGCTTTCTGTTCACTCCCATGAGCTACATCCATCCATGTCAATGAGCCCCACATTTGTAGACAGCCATGACTCTCAATGAAGAGTATTGCCGAGCCTGTTTGATTTTAAATGTCATTTTATTCTAGAAACATTCAGGGTCTTTTTCTATTCAGTGTGTAAGAGACACTTGGAGTAACTAATGTCTAGATCATCTTAGAGCTCAGCACTACAAAGGCAGCCTCTTTTCACCATCTTGTTAACAAACACTGCGGCCAGGGGCTGAAGAAACATGAAGAACATAATAATGTCCCTCCTCTAGCAATGGAAGGACGTACAATTTTGTCACTGATTACTTAAGGAAGGATACCATGGCAACATGACATTGATTTGGAAATCTGAATAAGATAAATAGGTAAAGATGGACATTTCAGGAGTAATAAATGCCTGTGTATGGAAGAATAAGAGAAGTTAGGTAGATAACAAAAGATGGAATGGAAAGGAATTTATCTGAAAGAAACCCACAAGCAAAGGTTTTATTTAGTTTGAGAAACCACAGAGAAGTCCACAGTTTCCTAGGATAAGTATCTATTATTTATCAGACTGAAGATTTCTGTTACTGAAATAGGTTAGGGTGATGAAGAGAGAAGTACTAAATTCTTTAAAATTTTGCATTAGGTGTGGTGATGCAGACCTGCAGTCCAAGCTACTCAAGAGGAGGGTCACTTGAGACCAACAGTTTGAGGCCAGTCTGGGCAATGTGGTATGACCCTACCACAAAAGAAAGAAACTGAGGCCTAGAGGTGTAGAATATGTGTTTAGCCTGTGTGGATCCTGGGTTCAGTTCCTAGCATCACAAAAATTTTTTCATTATTACTGGCAAATATGATCACTAATTAGAGCTAAGCAGTTACTTAAAATATTGAGTAACATCTTCAATTCTTTTAAAAAATCAATTCTAATGAGGAACACTTTATAGAAAGCCACAGTACGCCTGCTCACCAAGACTAAAATTTCCAGTAGACCCTGGTAGCTTTACTTCCTGAACCCGGATAACTCACCAGCCGCTGCAGTCCAGTGCGTCCACTGCTCCGTTCAACCCTTGCTTCCCTCTGTGGAGGCAGTCACTGTGCGTCTGCAGGTTCGGCCGCTGTTTCCTCGCTGAGAGTAGGGCTCTGGGAGAAAGCGCTGCTTGGTACCTCCCTCCTCTTCGTTAGTCTCTCTCTTCACTCTCCCTGTAGACTTCAGTTCTCACCTCAGATCCTTCCTGGGTCCCACAGACTCACTTCCCTCCTTCTTCTCCTCAAACTGCTATGTATCAGTGTCCGGACACAAAATCTCTGAGAGGCTCTTCGCTGCTCACCATTCCGCCATCTTCCCGGAAGTCTTTGGGAGCTTTACTTCCTGAGAAAATCCCTGCAGTGGTTCGGGTCTCACATATGGACACACTCACTAGAATTCTGCACTTTGCCTTATAGAAATTCATGTAAACTTTGTGTGCATGTCTGCGTTGATTAATCGCTGTGTCTCTCAGCTAACTCAAGACCCATCAGTATAAACTTAACCTATGTTTGCCCCCTGCTGTATCAGCTTCTAGGACAGTATCTGGTACAGAATAGGTGCTTAATAAAAACATGTTGATACTGCTGCTCTTGTCATTGTGTGTTCTGCTTGCTACTGGTAAGATTTGACTCTTAGAATTTTGTCTCTATTGAGCAGTCAGGAATTGTGTTTTAAGGAAGAAAACCAGTGACCATTTAGGTTAGTAAATATGGCCTGGCCAAACAAGCAAAAGTCACTAGCGAATTTAGAATATTCTGAGTAAATGCTAAATATTGTAAAAGGAACACACTTAGAACAGGAGCTTTCAGCTGCAGTCTGGGATGGAATCATAATTTCATTCCCTAGGACAAGCATTCTTACAAGAATGCAGGACCAGATATATCACTGGTAGGCTCCAATGCAAAATAAAAATGCAGCCCCTTGTTAATTTTTAGTTTTTAAAAATGAGAGCATTAAAGCAAGCACAGGGCCCCTTGTAACAGCATAGGTTGTGTACCCATGACTCTGGTGCTGCAAAATCCACAGTTACAAGTTCACAAATTTCAGTTAGAAAATTAAGGAAGGAGCGTTTTTTTTTTTATCATCAGGGAAAGGGTTTTTAAGTTTCTAGATGTATTTTCTTCTGCAGCACACTCAGGTTGTGTATCCAAGAGAAAGTAGACCCTTATGTACCTTTATTTGGTGATGCTATCTCACTGTTTCCAAAAACTTGGAAAAGGCAGACTGGTTTGCCCCTCTGTGTATAGTCCTAAACTTGCCAGCCTGCAACACTGATTACTCCTCAGCTGCTAAGGCCGTGCTTAGATTTGAGGTTTCACAATCTAAAATGTATAGATTTTAAAGCCAAAATGGGTCCAAATACCAGTACTATCATATATAGTTTGGTGACCTAAAGCAAATTACTGAAAACCTCAGTTCCTTGGCCTCCACAATGGAAGTGATAGTACCTAGCCCCATAGTTTGGTTGTGAGGATTTAATTGAGGTAAAAATGCAAAAGGCTTAATGCAATAAATGCACAAAAAAGAGAAGCAGCTTTACATCTACCTGAGTGGGGGGTAAATGGCAGTGCTCACAAGGATTGGGACCCCCACTCTGATTCTTGCAGTCATTGAACCTTATAGGCAGTTAAGTCAGAGTCTATTTCTTGGGTGAGGAATGAGATAGTTTTTGCAGGTGGTCCCTCCAGGCCACACCATTCGTGGGTTTTCTATGCATTTTAGGGAAGAGGGCTTGGTCGCATTTTCACCGCCCCATCGAAAGAATCACCCCGACACGTAGTGGTGAAAGCTCAGCCTCCTTGCAGAGCTCTTCTGGGCACTGCCCCCTCTTGCCCGCACTACTCCCGGTGGCCGCGAGCCCCGCCCAGGAGTCGCCTCCCGCGTCTCGCTCCTCAGGCGGGCAAGCCCGAGCCCACTCGCTGCTGCCGGGTGGGTGGCAGTCACGACTGTGCGGTCGCAGGCGAGGTGGCCACGGGAACTGCGGGGCGGGGAGTGCTCTGCCCCCGCCTGCGGAAGTGCAGGGGAGGTGGGCAGGGCCCGGGGCAGGGGCGAGGCCGGTGGAGGGTGGGCGAGCCGGCGCCTTGGCGAGGATGGAAGTCCCCGGGACGCGGAGCTGAGCGAGTGACCTAGCGCGCGGCGGGCAGGGTGCGCCGGAGGAAGGCGAGCCTCGCGGTTCCCCCAGGAGCCCAACACCTTTCCCGCGCGGCCACGATGATCCCCCCGAGCGGCGCCCGAGAGGACGGCGTAGATGGGCTACCCAAGGAGGCGGCGAGCGCCGAGCAGCCGCCCTCTCCTGCATCCACCAGCAGCCAGGAATCCAAGGTACCGCGCACACTTGCTCCAAGAGAACACAAACTCACTCTTCTCTCTCTGTCCACCTTTTCTCTTCCCATCTGGGGCTTGTCCGGGGACCTAAGACGCGTTTGTAGTTTGGCCTGGCCTCTCGAGGACCAGCCGTCCCTTGAGACTTGAATGTCCATTAGGACCCACTGCTAAAGATGCTGGACCACGTCCTGTGGACCCAGTCTTTTCTCCTGCGCAGACCCGTTGCGCTACGCTTCTACTCTGGAAAGCATACACAGTTCAGGGGAGGGCAGAAGGGTCTTGATTATTTGGTGCTTTGATCCTGCGGATGCACCCAAGCTCTTGTAGGTATTAGGTGAATTCTGGGGGCAGGGGTGGAGACAGCTTAGGATACTTTTCCAGAAAACCTTGGGCACCCGGCCAGCAAGGAGTATCTTATCCCGAGGGTCTCAGAGACCCTTTGCTTAGCAGGGCCCATCAATATATTAACAATAGTAAAAACTAGAGAAATACTGCACTCCTGAGAAAGTTGGTGCTCTTCTTGTAAGTTAATACTCTAGGAACTTACACTTGTCTTTGTAAGTCACGCAAACATCTATACACAAAACCAACTCCACAGCGCTTCTCCTGTCACTGTTACACTTCCTCTGAAACTCGTGTAGGTGCCAGGCACATGTTTGGAAAGCTTGGAAGAGGATCAAGTAAAATGTATCTGCTAACAGAGCAATGCCAAATGGCAACTCAGCTGGGAGCGAAAATCGTAAAATGGAGTTTGTAGTGTTATGGATTTTGGTTAGGTACAGGGCTTCTGGCTCTTTGTACAGATTTTCTTGTCAATATCCCAGGCATTTTTGCAATATGAGACAGACCTTGTTTAGTAGCAAAGAAAAAGAGGTTGCTAGTTTAGAGGGCAAGTTGGATGGGGCAAGAAAAAGGGCAGTCCGGTCTCCCTGCACAGAAAACTCTAGAAGCCACTGACCACATCAGTAGCATCAAAATCACAAGCCCAAGTGGTTTGGTATGATGGTGGCCACTGTACATTTCCCAGCATCCCAAAGTTAACCATCAAAAATGGTAATCTAAGACAGAAATCTTGCTTTCATACTTTTCATTTTTTTCTGTTAATTGCTGACTATCTGACCATAAGCATGAGTGTCCACTATTCTAAAATTCAGCTGGAAGTGAGGAAAAAAATCTCCACCTTCCAAGATCATTGTGAGAAATACATGAAATCAAGTTTCCACCCTGGTACAGTGTGTTTATCTTTTTTCTTTCTGAGATAAGGAAATGCAATACATTACCCCTCAAGTGATCCAATCTAAAGCAGTCTCACCATACACATACACCCTACCTCTCTTCCATGTAGAAATTAAAGGGGTTTCACATTGTCCAAAACTATCAGTCTTCAAAGTGATATGGGGTAGTGGCCTTTCAAAGATAATCTAAAATTCTTTAAATGGAGCTAAATGCAAGAGTGAAATTGGTATTAAACTTTTTTGAATTGGACCTGTTGCTCTGCATTAGGTGAGTTAGCATTTGGATAAAGAGCATGGTTCAAACACACTGTATGAGTTTGCTATTTATAGATGTCCTAATGTAAATTATTTGGCAAAGCAAAAGTCTCATATGTAATGCCCATAATTATCCACCAATTTATCTGGCTTATGGTTTCAGAATTATACAAGTCAGTTTTTGCCAAAGTGATCTACACATCTGATGTGCATTTATACATTCCCACATTTGCTGTCATGGCTTAGTCATCTTTAGTAAAATGGAGAGCAATGGATGGACCCCTGAACCCCAGGAAACTGAATAAAAATAGTGTGCCTGAATGTGAATTTTCCATGACATAGCATTCACAATATTTTCAAAGGGCATGTACCCCTCAGAAAAGGGTAAACTACTGGTGTGGGAAGAGAGCATAGTGGCATAAAACAGAAATAGAGAAAGGATGTGTTCCTCCTTTACTTGGATGACCACATTTGAAAGCTCATTGGCATTAAGGAGGATCTTACACCCTAAAGATGGGAGCCCAGTAGGGAAAATGTGAGCAAGACAATAGGAATCATTCCATTTTACTCTCCTTGGAAGTAGTTTGTTTGTCAAAATATATATATTTCAACATAAGTAAAAATAAATTTCAAACCTATCACCACTAGAAATGTCAAGTAAGTGAGGTGCTGGATATGTTCAGTAGCTTGATTTAATCATTCCACATTGTGGTTGTTTATATACAGCAAAATATCACATTTTGCTCTATGTATGTAATGCAATCATGATGTCAGTTACAAATATTAATAAAACTTTTTTAATGTACCTCATGGAACAAACATGATTCAGGTCACTCTGGGCATTAAACTCTCTCAAGGAAGACTTAAAATTAGTTTTCTTAAAAACTTATTTTTCAATGTAAGATTAACAAATATTCTGTAGATATTTGAAAAGTCCAGACAAAAATAAAGAAAAAATATCAACCATAGGTCCGCAATTCAGAAGCAACTACTGACACCATTTTGATTTATATTTTACATCATTTTCATCTTTTTATATATTTACATAGTTCAGAGAACAACAGTGAGCATACTAAATGCTTCCTATAAATAAGTCAGGGATCACTCTAATGTTCAGAAGCGGAGATTCTATTATTATTCCCATTATATGGATAGAGAAGTGGAGGCTCAGAAAAGTTAGATGACTTACCCAAGATCATGTAGCTAGTTGAGTGACACAGCAAGACCTGGACAAGCAGCTCAGGAGCTCTCAACTTTCTTGCAACTGTCATTCACACTTGTGCACCATTTCATGTTTGCCCCTTTTCACTTGATGTCCTAAGGATTTTACACACCACACCACCATTGGTTGTATCTTCTTGTCTTAAGAAATCTTTGGAAATAAATCGAGCCCCGTGACTATGTGAAATGATTAGTAATCAATTCTTGCCTAGCTTCTTTGTATTTACTTGGGAACTCTTTCCCCTAAGGGTATATTGTAGAAGTAATTAAACTGGTTATCACAGAATCATCTGGAAAATGGTACCATCACAAGCCCTCTAGTACAAAAGGCCCACAGAATGTCATAAAATATAAAAAAGTCAATAGACTGTCTGACTCCATAGAAACACATAAAGTATCCCTGAACATAAATTGAGTTGCTAAAATATCTCCAGAAGTCCACTTGCTTTGCAAATTCTTTGAAATGCTAAATCAAAGTATTAAAATTAGAAATATTAGAGATCATCTATTCCAGATATTTTTATAATTGTGGATCATTTTAATTGATTAAATTTATTTTATTATGGAAAATTCAATATACCCTAAAGAAGTAAAACTGTATGAATAATCATCATAGACCCTATCACCCAACTTCAGTAATGAGAATTCATAGAAAGTATGTACTGTATTATTTTACACATTATCCCATTATGATCACCACTGCCCCTTCCCCATACACTGTATCATTTTAAAAGCAGATTCCAGCCATCCAATCATTTCACCTGAAAATATTTCAAGTTGCATCTCTAAAATATAAGGATTCTTTTTGTAAATATGACTACAATCCCATTAACATATTAGAGATGTTTTAAATCAAGAATCAGTGTATTTGGAGGTCTGTGGTCTTCAGAAAATCTGTGAATAAAGAGAACCAGCAGTCAAAATTGTACGTGTACATGCATTCTTTGAGGAAGGATTTATAGCTTTTATCAGATACATAAAAAGTACATAGCTTTCAGTTATTACTTCAGTGTTTATTGTAATATCTTTTTCTCCCTCCCTTTTCTTCCTGCCTTTCTCTCTCTGAAACTGGGGCCCAATATGTCTAAAATCACACCGATAGTTATTGGCAGTACTCCTGTCTCAGAACCCTGTCATACACTCTGGATATCCCAGCACAATTTTCTCAGACCAAATTTTCTCATAGTACACATAGTGGTGTAGTTTAATGTAATTGTGGTTTTTCTTTTTCATTAGATGATTGAAAAAGTTTGAAAGACGCTAATGTAGCTCACTCCATTCTTTCCACTAACTATTCCAAAAAGACCACGGTCTATTTTTAAGTGCTGAACAGAGGTCACTGAACCAAAGAAAAATTTCATATTTCACTATCCCTTATCTCAATGAGTGTCTGTTCTCCTACTGATCTACTGAAGCCATAGAAAGCTTACTAGGATGTAATGTGAAAGTTTGATGTGGATGCCCTTTGCCATCACTTATATGACCAAAGGTCACATTTTGATGATGTGGGAGGATTACAGTTTTAGAGGTCAAATAGACAAGATCTGAAATCTCTTCTAACCAGTACCCACCTCTGTGAGGTTAGTTACTCATTGTATCCTCATCTCTAAAACAGGAATACAAATATCCAATTGGCAAGCCATCCAATTGTAATGCCTAAGAAAGTGTAAAACTGTAAGCATATATAACTTGAAGCACTGTTTATATCTTCTTCTTTTTTCAAATCAAAAGACTTCCACCACTAGCTAACACCAAATACCACCATTTAAATAACTTCAGTAACCACAACTGACATTCCCTCTTATTACAGAATATTCTTTCTTGGACTTGTAGTTATGCTATTTACTTCAGGGAGATTCCATCTCAACTGTTTTGCATCCCCAGTACCCTCGAACATGTGATTTAGTTTTTTGAAAGTGTGCTGTAAGCCATCCACTGCCCCTTTGGAGCCATGAACCAAGGTGCCCTCTGATTCCTGAAAGGTACTGTCTGACATAAAACCATCACCCAAGCTAGGAAAAAGAATCCCTGAATCTCTCAAAAAGGTTTTGATGTCCATCCATCAGCAACTATTTATTTAGCACCTACATTGTGTCAGTATAGCTGACGTATGTATCTGAAGCTATTATAGAGAAAGAGTGTAACTTCTACCTGAGAGGGTGGGAGTGAAATAAAACAGAACCTTGGCTTTGCATTCAAATCACCTGGGAAACCCTGGACATAGGCTAGACCTTCTAATTTGAAATCTCTGACAGTATTTTTTTTGGGGGGGAGGGCACTGGGGAT